CTTTAGCTAGGAGGTCACATAGTGGTCTAGATATGGTGAAAAAATTTTGTATGAACCTCCTATAAAAGCCCGCATGACCAAGAAAGGATCTCACATCTTTTACTGTCCTAGGTGTAGGCAACTTAGAGATTAATTCAATCTTAGATTGATCAACCTCTATCCCTCTAGAAGAAATAATATGTCCTAAGACAATACCTGAAGGTACCATAAAGTGACATTTCTTCCAATTCAAAACCAATTTCTTTTCCTCACAATGAGTCAACACTCTCTCTAAATTCAATAAGCATGCATCAAAAGAAAATCCAAAAATAGTTAAGTCATCCATAAAAACTTCCATGCAATTTTCAACCATGTCACTAAAAATGCTCATCATGCAACGTTGAAAAGTAGCAAGTGCATTACACAATCCAAATGACATTCTATGAAAAGCATAAGTACCAAAAGGACAAGTGAAAGTGGTTTTATCCTGGTCTTCTAATGCAATTTCAATTTGATAATAACCAGAATAGCCATCCAAGAAATAATAGAAAGGATGACCAGTCAAAGGCTCAAGAATTTGATTAATAAAAGGGAAAAGAAAATGGTCTTTCTGGGTGGCAACATTCAATTTTCTATAATCAATGCACATCCACCACCCAATCACTAGTTTTGTAGGGACTAACTCTCCCAAGTCATTCTTCACCACAATAACACCTGAATTTTTAAGAATAATCTGTGTAGGACTTACCCATTTACTATCAGTAATATGATATATGATTCTTGCATTTAATAGTTTCAGCACTTCATTCTTCATCACTTCTTTCATAGTGGGATTAAGTCTACGCTGGGGGTCTCTATGAGGGCTAGTTCCTTCCTCCAAATTAATTTTATGAGAACAAACTAGGGGACTAACACCTTTTATATCATCAATGCTCCAACCTAAGGCTGACTTATACTCACTTAGGGTCCAAATTAATTTCTCACATTGAGACTCAAATAATTCAGATGAGATAATAACGTGAAAAGTATCACCTGGACCAAGGAAAGCATGCTTTAAACCCTTAGTCAGACGCTTCAATTCAACTTTGGGTGCTTCCACACTTGAAGGAATTTATTTTTCACCTTTCTCAAATAACTCCTCAAACTTTGGTTGCCATGCCTGAGTGCTACAGTCCTAAGTCCTATCAAAAAGAGCACAAATATCAACATCAGATGGATCGTTGATAGAATCAAACTCAAAATGTACAAGAAAATACTCAAGGGGATCAAAATCATGAGCTATAGAAACTCCCCTATCCATGAATGAGTCAATCATGTATGTTTGATGACATTCATCATCATCTTCTAGTTGTTTTGTAATATGAAAAATATTTATCTTGAGAGTCATGTTTCTAAAAGACAGCTTCATGAGCTCATTTCTGCAATTAATAAGAGCATTAGTAGTGGCAAGAAAATGCCTACCTAAAATCAAAAGAATTTTAAAAGTAGTATCAACAACAGAGCTAGTGTCAAGTAATTAGAAAATCAACATGATAATAAAATTTGTCAATTTGAATTAGAACATCCTCTATCACACCCCAAGGTACTTTGGCTGAACGATCAGCCAATTGTAATACCATAGTGATTGATTTGATTTCTCCCAACCCCAACTGTAAATAAATAGAATATGACATTAGATTCACGCTAGCTTCTAAATCTAGCAAAACTTGCCAAACTCATGATTTTCAATGCTGCACGCAATGGTTGGACAACCATGATCTTTGTATTTGGGAGGAATCCGCTGCTCAATTAGTGCGCTAACTTGCTCTGTCGGGAACGTTGTCTTCTTCACTTGGTGCTTCCTCTTAACTGTACACAAATCCTTGAAAACTTTTGCATAAGTAGGAACTTGCTTAACCACATGCAAAAGAGGAAGATTGATTTTTACCTGCCTTAGATTCTCTAGGATTTCATTGTTAGGATCTAGAGTTTGCTTGCTTAATTTTAAAGCTTAAGGAATGGTACCTTAACAAGATTCTTTGTCACCTCAGGTTCCTTGGATAGCTCGGCATCACTATTATCTTGATCCTTTTCTACATCCTCTAATTTGTTCATTGTTGGGATGTGTAATGAATCACCACTTCGTGTCACAATGACATTCACATCCTTCAAATTCTCTTGCGCCATGTGTTGACCATGAGGTGCAGACTGAGCTTGAGAAGGGAACTTCTCTCACTCACTCACACTCAAGGAGCTTATCAATTTGGACACTTGACTCTTTATCTCTTTGTTTTCTTCAATAGCTTACATAATCAAAGACTCAAACTTTTTGTTAGTTTTACCATGTCCCTCAATAAAAGCATGCAAAATGTCTTCTAAAGGACTCCTAAAAGATAAAAGTGCATGATAAGGTGCAAGATATGATCTAGGGGGTTGTGCAGGAGGCTGATTTTCAGATTTTCAGCTAAAGTTGGGGTGATTGCGCCATCCCGGATTATAGGTATCAGAGTAAGGTATAAAAGGCTTCTTGTACATACCTAAGGCATTATATTGTTCCTCATACATCCCTCTCATCTCAGCAAGCGTGGGACATTCTTGGGCGAGGTGATCTATCCCGCCACACACAAAATATGGTCCAAAAGACTCTGCATGATTAGCCAAGTGTGTTGGCTTTAAGTCCTTAGTCTTTAACGCATCTAGCTTCCTAGTGAGCATCTCAACCTTAGCCTTTAGGCTATCCTCTTCCCTGAGAGGGTAAATTCCACCACAATTTGAGTTTCCTGCAAGTTGTGACTTATTTGTGCTTTCAGTAACATTAGGTCCAGTCCAAGTGTGAACTTTTCAGTAAGCTCATTAAGGTATTCTATGACCTCATCAGGATCTTTTTATAAGAACTCACCATTACACATCATCTCCACAAATTGGTGCTCTCTAGGTGTAAGTCTCTCATAAAAATAGCTCACTAAGCACCAATTCTCATACCCATGGTGAGGACACACACTGAACAACTCCTTAAATTTCTCCCAAGATTGATACAAAGTCTCATTGTCCTTTTAGCAAAGATGGAGATTTGTCTTTTTACAGCATTGGTCTTATTTAGGGGAAAATATTTATTAAAGAAGATCCGAGTTATCTCACTCCATGACCCAATAGATCGTGGTCTCAGCGAGTATAGCCAACTCTTAGCTCTATCATTCAAAGAGAAAGGAAAGAACTTGAGTCTCACAACATCATTAAGTGCAATTTGATTATGAAAAGTTCCAACTACTTCCTCAAACTCCCTAATGTGCGCATATGGATTTTCATTTTCCAAGCCATGAAAAGTAGGGAGAAACTATATCATCCCTGTTTTAAAATCTAATTGGTGAGTATTAGTTGGAAACATGATGCATGATGGTGTGACTGTGCATGTAGAGTGGCGGTAATCATGAAGAGTTCTAATATGTTGATCTTTGTGTTCACCCATTTCTTCGGGACTTGTTGGATTGTCAAATAAAGGATTTAAAAAATTTGATTCTAACTCTATCACAGGCCTGGAAGCAAATCTACCCAAGGCGTCTCTATATCTGTGCATGCAAGGCAGCAAAATACTAAAAGAATAAAATACTATAAAAAGAAAGAAGAAGAAATAATAATAATAATAATAATAATAATAACAATGCAACAAGCTAAAAGAAGGAACGAAGTTACCGCCTTTGCCAACTGTTGAAAATAAAAAATATCTAGCAATTCTTCTATTGTCTCCCCGACAACAGTATCAAAATTTCATTATACCCAAAGAATAACACGGTAGGTATAACACAACTTTGGGGTGTCGATTTCATTAAGAGACAAACTAAAAGAATAGTAGAAGGAACAAAGGAACTAAAAAAAAAATATTAAATGATTACTAGAGAACAAAGATTAAGTTTAAATGTAACTTAAAGTGAAGCAAAATGACTAACATAAAAAGTACTCAAATTTGGCAAACGATAAAGCGTCGGAAATTCTTTGCACAAATCTGGTATTTTAATTATTCTTAATTCATTGAATAACTCAATTGGGAACTCAATTTCCAAAATTTCCAATCAGAAGATATAGATTTATAAACTAAGATTAAACCAAATATAATCCTTTGAAAAATTATTTACCACTTTGAAAATATGTAAATTATTATTACTATTAAAAAAGTCTAACAACGACAATATACTCAAAAAGCGATATTGCAACAGAGAATTAAATCAATATACATAAGTAATTGATCCAAATATAATCAAAGAGCTAATTCATTCAATAGAAAAAAGGCTGACTAAATCCATAAATAGAATAAATTCTATGACTATTCGGAGAAGAAAACATCAACAATAAATTGAGAATGATAAAGCAAAAGAGTTTTAGTAATTAGAAATAAAATGCATAAATTAAAAATAAATAAAATACTATCTACTATGCAAGTTCATCCCTCGTCTTAACTAAAAAATTAGTTACCCATATATATAATGGACAACAAAAATTTCCCAGAAAAATAGAGCAAAATAGTAGGCATCGGCATTTTTCTCCTCCTCCCTGATTCGTGTCTGCCCCCCAAGCCAAGAACAGTCGCCTCCAAGAAAAAGTAGTTAAAAGTCAATCTCTTTAAGAAAAACCCTTTTCCTCCTCTCTTTATTTCAGCCCCTAAAGGCCAAAACCAACATACATGTTGAAAAGGACAACGCCCAAATCTACCGAGTGTTGGGTCCACCATGATAGCTGCATCAATTTCATCCTTTTTACTCCATGGACTGTCATCAAAATAAAAGCAAATGTAAAAGTCGAATAATAAAGTCCCAAAAATGCTAAGTGTAAAGTCCTATTATAAATTATCTCTCACCAAGCAATAATGCAATATTTAAAATTTAAAATATTATAAAATCATGCTCAAATATATCTTAGTGTTAATAGATATTAAATTCAATAATATAAATTATATCTAATTATTTTTATTCACATTTTATTATTTTAATCTAATAATAATAATAATAATGTATTTAGAAAGCACTTTCGTGCACTCATTAAATGTCAACTGTGAGCCTCCATCGTCCAATATGTGCACCGACAACTTCTCCGTCGGATTTTCGTACGCCATCACTGATAAAGCCATGTTCACTACGGTCATTGGTTGTTCTTTCAACGGATCCATAGTGCATATAAACACATCTAGCGCCAGAAAATCGCTCTCTCTCATTGTGTTCGCAAGGTGTTCGGGAAAAATCTCATGACGGACTGGACTCATACGAAAGGCCTGAGCAGTTGTCCACATAAAAGCAAGCACAAGATCGACTAGGAACATGGATAGAGAGAAAACGTTGGTGGAGTTGGCTAGATTGAGCAAATGGTGGTATAGTAGGGCAAAGATGGTGATCATGTATGAAATGGTGAAGAGACGGTTCAGCCGTGTGCGACGAAAGGCCACCACCGTGTGAAGAAGAGGATGTTGCATGGTAATGTTCTTAGTAATCGTCCCCTTAAGACCACCCATTTCTCTTCTACCACACCTGTAAAGAGAGGCAAGGTCTTCATTATTTATACTCAAGGCATTAAGATGCAAGTGGACTGTCTTTTTTGTTTGGGAAGAGAAATGTTAGAGCAAGAGGTAGCCAGTAACAGGAAGGAGTCATCTTTCGAATTTTAGTAATTTTTTGAGGCTAGATCTGAAAAATTTATTTTTGTAAATACTCACATCCATTCCCAGAGGATTGATTTGAAGAAAAAGTTCAAACTCACACATAGAATCTTACTTTTTTTTTTTTTATTGGGCCTACAGGTAAATTAATGACAATAATGCTGAGAGTAAACAAATATTGTCAATATTTTTTACCCAAGGAGCATTGCTCTTTTTCATATAACAACATCATTAACTGTAGGGGATCCATTTGAATCTGTTGGCTGAAGAATCAAGAAAATTTAGAGGAACGAAAAACCAGGACAAGATCAAAGTAAACGAAACACAAAGATGCAAATGTAAGTTCACGCATGCTCATTCAAAGCTTAATCCTAGATAGACTACATGATACCGATTTAAGTAACCTGAACAAGCAAAAAGGAGAGAGGATAAGAGAAACCATGGTGAAAACCAGGCACCAATGAATGTATTTACTGCTCGATTAAATCAGTTTAGTAAACAATGCTACATAAAGCTTGCAAGCTTCCATTCACTGGGACATTGTCCAAGTACAACTACACGTATTTACAAGCATTGGAAATGAAAAAAACTCATCAATAGCCAACAAAAACACCCCTGATATGCACAGATTCTAATCCTACCCATGAGCATCATATCACCTTCGTCATCTGTAAAGACTATTTCCCATTTTCTCCGGGGACAAAGTTCTCCCTTGATTCCAAACATCTTTTCTAGTTCACTAATAAGGTCGTCGTACCCTTTCAACGCAGTTAAGTCCACAGCACAAACCACCGTAACCCTTTGCATTTGAACCTTCTCAGACAATGCAAAAATGTTGGCTTAACAACTTGTAAGGGCAAAGAAACTCAAATACTGGTTATTGAAAATAAAGAAAATTTAATTTCTGCCTTCCAATTATCATTCACCTTGGTACGACTTCTAGCAGAGCAACTCTGTTTGCTTTGAACCTCCTTTGGTGACACCTGCAACAGTTCTAGCTTATGTTCTTTGGAATCCTTTGAAAGCTCAGAATTTTGGTCTGAAACAATAGTTGACACAACACTCAGTAGATTTCCTTCAGCAGCGACATTGGATACACTGACTAGTTTTAAAGGAGCCTTCTTAACAAGAAGGGCACCTATGGCACGACTTTTCAAGTCGATTCCAAACAATTGGAAGCTTGCAACAGTGTCGGATCTTCCATCAAATAGGTTAGGCATTAGGTCATTGCTCTGCTTCGTTGAGTGCAGAGTCGAATAGTGTGAGGGAATAGACCAAACAGAAGCACTTCTACTTTCTTCAGTTTCATCAATATTCATCTTTCGAGAAACAGTTACATGGGAAGAGGATGTCCAACCTCCCTCCACTTGCATCCTCAAAATACCGTTTCGATTACAGTTCATGGGAGTTTGAATATGATTCTCGGTCCTCTGTCTGTTGGCAGTACCACTTAATTTAGTTGAATCATGGGAGGGAGGGATGTCAAACAGCTGAAAACATTGAATCATGTGAAGAATGCCAGACAACTGAAGACATTGAATTATGTGAGGAATGCCAGACAGCTGAAGACGCAGTATCTATAACACATATGGCAGAAGAAGACAAAATCAAAAAAAAAAGAAAAGAAATTATGATACATCTAGACAATGTACAGAACATTGAAAGAAAGAAGGGATGATTAGCCCACCAAGAACTAGGATTTCAATTGGTGGTCGGGGTCTTTTATTCTTCACTAGCACTGGTTGAACCAGACTTGTAGGACCAGAAGCTGAAAAAGATTATATCTCCCATGGAGAAACCCCATCGGGTCTTGCAATGGATAGAGTCTCATCCCATTGAACCTAGGCAAAATAAGGAGTGTTACTTTTCTTCTCCGCCATAATTACAAATAAATAGAAAATAGATGGTGAAGGACATTAACCTTTAATGATCGCCATTTAGAATCTTTCCACTGAGAAGAAATATCCTCAACCCCAACTATAGTCCCTGTATACCTGATCAATCAAAAGAATTTTTATAGCAACTTTATACACAACTTTCTAAAACCATCCTATGGATATTACACTACCTTCTTTCTAGAGAATCTTCCCCTTCAAATCGCATATTAAATCTAATGCCAACTACAAATCCATGGTCAATAGCTTCTAGATATTTATTCAACCCTATAATAAATTGACTCGTCCTGAATTTTTGAAAATGAAACCATAACAAAAATTACTAATTTAATAAGATTTCTGCAGCAAAAAAATCATTTCAAATTCATCAAAAGGACTAATATATAGTACCTCAGCTTGTAGAAAACAACAAAAGGGGTTTGAGTAGTTACAGCATGAGATGCAGTTTCAAGCACTCCTAGGTGCATACTTTGACTTGAAAGCACTGACGATGGCATGGAGCTTTTTTGACGAGTAAGGTGTCTAACCCAACGTGTAATTCCCCATTCTCCCCCCTAGATATCAAATTATTTTTAGTAAGATGTAATAAAAAATTACATAGAAAAATAAGATTATCAAATATAATTGTCAACACAAAAAGTCTATGGGAGTTAGAAACTCCAAAAAAAGGATGAGAAGAGGCAAATAGACATGAAAATTACCTAAGAAATACAAAAGTATCCCGACAACTAATCTCTTAAAAGTAACAAATGTACTCCATAATGTTGTAAACAAGTGCCCCCGTGGGTGGCTTGAAATTTTTAGTCAAAGGGAAATTTTCAGGCTTGAAAAAAAAAGAGTATTCGCCTTTGAATCCCACAAAATGTCTATTAATTGTTGGTAGTTCATCTTTGTGTTTGAATAACAAATGCCTCTTTTCAAAATTTACAACTGTAGCACAAGGACAGTAAAGGAAAAGGAAAAATCACCTCTAAAGATATGCTTAAAGTGCCATTCAGCACCATGAAGATCCTTGGCAACTAATTCTTGGGTTGGTGTGGGCTGGATCATGTCTTGAAAAACAAAAAGTAGTCCAAACAAGAGTCAATCAATAACTTGCAACTGTAGCATGTTTTCGAAGAACAGAAAAGCCGCCATGAGTGCTTGTATCAGAGGCAGTCAAAACCTTACAAAATGAGTGGACAGTTGGTCTTGGAGGCTCAAGAGGGCATGAATCAAGACTTCGTGGCTCAGTTGGCTACAAATAGTTTCACATAATTATAAACTTAAGAATTACGTAAACCTCACAACAAAAATTTTGCCTGTTGCTCATGAGCAATCTTAAAGCATGCAGAAACATCAACATTCGAAGAGAAAGAAAAGTACTTACATCTAACTCTGGAATCAAATGAATTTGTGCATAGACCTCATCAGTATCTTGCTCGGCCTACAAAGGAAAACGATTCTTTGGAAATTAAACACACTACAATTTCAATAAATATTTCTGTGTTTGGTTGTTGACTACTTGGTAGTTTAGTATTAAGAGTTCCCTAATACAAGGACTAGAAAAATTCATATAATGTGTTAGAAAATATATAGAAGAATTACTCACAACCACTCACAAAGAAATTTTAGCACACAAGGACTCAAATAATTTTATTGAATACCAAATCAACTGACCAATAATAGTAAGCTTACAATACTTTTTGGACTAACATCAAGTCTTTAAATAGACTCCAACACTTGCTCTGTTTCACACATGTAGCTCCACTTCCTAAAATTTCTAACAAATAGCATACTTCAACAATGACACATAATAGAAAACTCCTACATATTCTCAACCTCTTAGCATTATCACATTATTATAGAACTACTTAATAACAGAGACCTAAATAAGTGGAACAAAACATATAACAACTAAAGACCAAGTCTGCCTTGAAAGCCCACGTGTGAATTACTCTCCAACATTCCCTCTTTTAATTCAACGAGGTCTTGCACTCCCAACATGGACCGGAACTTCTTGAATTTATCTTTTGCTAAAGCCTTTGTGAGAATATCTGCTGGCTGAATATCAGTGTAGTAGTGCTGCAACTCTATTTCTTCTTTTGCAACTAGCTCACAAATGAAATGGAATCGCGTCTCAATGTGCTTGGTTCTGCCTTGCTAGACTGGATTCTTGGATTTTGCAATAGTGGATTTGTTTTCGTAGAATATCACAGTTGGTCTACCTTGCTTCTGCTTCAAGTCCTCCAAAATTCTTCTCAACCAAACAACATGACATGCTGTAGTTGTTGCGGTAATGTACTCAGCTTCTGTGCTTGACAAGGCAGTAGTTTGCTACTTCTTTGATGCCCAAGAAATTGCCCCTGAGCTAAGATTAAAAACATAACCTGTTGTGCTTCTTCTGTCTTCTACACAACCAACCTAATCACTGTCAGTAAAAGCAACAAGATTGTTGGATTTGCTTTTCATATACCTGATGCCAAAATTTGAAGTGCCCTGAACATATCTAAGAATTCTCTTAGTTGCCCCCAAATGATGTTTGCTTGGATTGTGCATAAATCTCGAAGTGAGATTTACAACAAATAATATTTCAGGCCTTGTGTGGGTGAGATACATAAGACCACCCACCATACTTCTAAAGTGCTTCTCATCAACCTTTTCCACTCCATCATTCAAGGAGAGCTTCTCATTGGTGTTCAATGGTGTTTTGTCAGGCTTGCAATTCACCAGTCCAAATTTCTTTAACAAGTCAGTAGCATACTTCCTTTGACCAATAAAAATACCATCTGAATCTTGCACAACTTCAATGCCCAAAAAATAATGCAAAGAACCCAAATCAAACATATCAAAAGTTTGCATCATAGAGTTTTTAAATGCTTCCATCATTTGAGAAGAACTTCCAGTATATATCATGTCATCCACATAAAGACACACAACCAAGAAATCATTGCCATCACTTTTAACATACAAGGTGGGTTTACTAGCACTCTTCTGAAATCCATTATTAGCAAAATAAGTATCAATCTTGATGTACCAAGCTCTTGGTGCTTGCTTGAGCCCATTGAGGGCTTTGCGCAATTTGTAGACTTTGTGCTCTAGTTCTTTCACGATGAAACCTTGAGGTTGCTCGACATAAACATCTTCCAAAAGCTCTCCATTAAGAAATGCAGACTTTATATCGAATTGATAAACTG